CTACTACATCGTTATCATATCTCTACTACTTCTGCTGCCTCTGTACTCGACTGAAAAAGCCTACTGCGTAGGCGAAGCGTTTCAAAAATAAAGATACACAACTATTGCAAAAGTACCTTATCCCACACCTGCAGACAGGTTAAATGTACACGTGTACCTTTCCCCACACCTGGAGACAGGTTAAATGTACACGTGTACCTTTCCCCACACCTGGAGACAGGTTAAATGTACACGTGTACCTTTTCGAACACCTGCAGACAGGTTAAATGTACACGTGTACCTTTCGAACACCTGCAGACAGGTTAAATGTACACGTGTACCTTTTCGAACACCTGCAGACAGGTTAAATGTACACGTGTACCTTTTCGAACACCTGCAGACAGGTTAAATGTACACGTGTACCTTTTCGAACACCTGCAGACAGGTTAAATGTACACGTGTACCTTTCCCCACACCTGGAGACAGGTTAAATATACACGTGTACCTTTTCCCACACCTGGAGACAGGTTAAATATACACGTGTACCTTTTCCCACACATGGAGACAGGTTAAATATACACGTGTACCTTTTCCCACACCTGGAGACAGGTTAAATATACACGTGTACCTTTTCCCACACCTGGAGACAGGTTAAACATACACGTGTACCTTTTCCCACACCTGGAGACAGGTTAAATGTACACGTGTACCTTTTCCCACACCTGGAGACAGGTTAAATGTACACGTGTACCTTTTCCCACACCTGGAGACAGGTTAAATGTACACGTGTACCTTTCCCCACACCTGGAGACAGGTTAAATATACACGTGTACCTTTCCCCACACCTGGAGACAGGTTAAATATACACGTGTACCTTTCCCCACACCTGGAGACAGGTTAAACATACACGTGTACCTTTTCCCACACCTGGAGACAGGTTAAATGTACACGTGTACCTTTCCCCACACCTGGAGACAGGTTAAATATACACGTGTACCTTTTCCCACACCTGGAGACAGGTTAAATGTACACGTGTACCTTTCCCCACACCTGGAGACAGGTTAAATATACACGTGTACCTTTCCCCACACCTGGAGACAGGTTAAATATACACGTGTACCTTTCCCCACACCTGGAGAGAGGTTAAATATACACGTGTACCTTTTCCCACACCTGGAGACAGGTTAAACATACACGTGTACCTTTTCCCACACCTGGAGACAGGTTAAATGTACACGTGTACCTTTCCCCACACTGGAGACAGGTTAAATATACACGTGTACCTTTCCCCACACCTGGAGACAGGTTAAATATACACGTGTACCTTTCCCCACACCTGGAGAGAGGTTAAATATACACGTGTACCTTTTCCCACACCTGGAGACAGGTTAAACATACACGTGTACCTTTTCCCACACCTGGAGACAGGTTAAATGTACACGTGTACCTTTCCCCACACCTGGAGACAGGTTAAATGTACACGTGTACCTTTTCCCACACCTGGAGACAGGTTAAATGTACACGTGTAGCTTTTCCCACACCTGGAGACAGGTTGAAGCGTAACAAATCAGAGAACAGCGTCTCACTATCAAATTTTAAGAGAAACAAATTGAAGTGCATCTCGTGGCCGCATCCAGACTTAGAAAACTTATCTGTATGCAGAAACACTTATTATTTGAACATTTTAACTCCGCGACTGGTCAGATTTAAAGGAATAACAATAATGTTTTGAGATAAATAGCGCTTGTTTTACGGTTGTGGGTGCCTTGATGCTGGTGATGGGTGCCTTGATGCTGGTGATGGGCGCCTTGATGCTGGTGATGGGCGCCTTGATGCTGGGGAAGGGTGCCTTGATGCTGGTGATGGGTGCCTTGATGCTGGTGATGGGCGCCTTGATGCTGGTGATGGGTGCCTTGATGCTGGGGATGGATGCTTTGATGCTGGTGATGGGTGCCTTGATGCTGGTGATGGGTGCCTTGATACTGGTGATGGGTGCCTTGATGCTGGTGATGGGTGCTTTGATGCTGGTGATGGGCGCCTTGATGCTGGTGATGGGTGCCTTGATGCTAGTGATGGGTGCCTTGGTGCTGGTGATGGGTGCCTTGTTGCTAGTGATGGGTGCCTTGTTGCTAGTGATGGGTGCCTTGATGCTGGTGATGGGTGCCTTGGTGCTGGTGATGGGTGCCTCGATGCTGGTGATGGGTGCCTTTATACTGGTGATGGGTGCCTTGATGCTGGTGATGGGTGCCTTGATGCTGGTGATGGGTGCCTTGGTGCTGGTAAATGGGTGCCTCGATGCTGGTGATGGGTGCCTTTATACTGGTGATGGGTTTGCCTTGATGCTGGTGATGGGTGCCTTGGTGCTGGTGATGGGTGCCTTGATGCAACACAACACACACACACACACACACACTGTAGGTCCCCACAACACACACACACTGTAGGTCCCCTCAACACACACACACACTGTAGGTCCCCGCAACACACACACACTGTAGGTCGTCGCAACACACACACACACTGCAGGTCCCCGCAACACACACTGTAGGTCCCCGAAACACACACACACTGTAGGTCCCCGCAACACACACTGTAGGTCCCCGCAACACACACACTGTAGGTCCCCGAAACACACACACTGTAGGTCCCCGCAACACACACACACACACACACACACACACACACACACACTGTAGGTCTCAGCAACACACACACACTGTAGGTCCCCGCAACACACACATACTGTAGGTCCCCGCAACACACACACACACACACTGTAGGTCCCCGCAACACACGCAGTGTAGGTCTCCGCAACACACACACACTTTAGGTCCCCGCAACAAACACACACACAGTGTAGGTCCCCTCAACACACACACACACACTGTAGGTCCCCGCAACACACACAGTGTAGGTCTTGGCAACACACACACTTTAGTTCCCCGCAACACACACACACGCAGTGTAGGTCCCCGGAACACACACACACTGTAGGTCCCCGCAACACACACAGTATAGGTCCCCGCAACACACACACTCTGTAGGTCCCCGCAACACACACACAGCGTAGGTCCCCGGAACACACACACACTGTAGGTCCCCGCAACACACACACTGTAGGTCCCCACAATACACACACTGTAGGTTCCCGCAACACACACACTGTAGGTCCCCACAACACGCATACACTGTAGGTCCCCGCAACACACACACTGTGGGTCCCCGCAACACACACACTGTAGGTCCCCGCGACACGCACACTGTAGGTCCCCGCAACACACACACACTGTAGGTCCCCGCAACACACGCACTGTAGGTCCCCGCAACACACGCACTGTAGGTCCCCACAACACACACACTGTAGGTCCCCGCAACATACACACTGTGGTTCCCCACAACACACACACACTGTAGGTCCCCGCAACACACACACACTGTAGGTCCTCACAACACCCATACACTGTAGGTCCCCGCAACACACACACTGTAGGTCCCCACAACACGCATACACTGTAGGTCCCCGCAACACACACTGTAGGTCCCCACAACACACATACACTGTAAATCCCCGCAACACACACACTGTAGGTCCCCACAACACACACACACAGTAGGTCCCCACAACACACACACACACTGTAGGTCTCCGCAACACACACACACTGTAGGTCCCCGTAACACACTCACACACACTGTAGGTCCCCGCAACACACACACTGTGGGTCCCCGCAACACACACACTTTGTAGGTCCCCGCAACACACACACACATTGTAGGTCCCCGCAACACACACACACTGTAGGTCCCCGCAACACACACACTGTGGGTCCCCGCAACACACACACTGTAGGTCCCCGCAACATACACACTGTAGGTCCCCGCAACACACACACACTGTAGGTCCCCCCAACACACACACTCTAGGTCCCCGCAACACACACACACACTGTAGTTCCCCGAAACACACACACACTGTAGGTCCCCGCAACACTCACACACTGTAGGTCCCCACAACACACTCACACACTGTAGGTCCCCGCAACACACACACACTGTATGTCCCCGCAACACACACACTGTAGGTCCCCGCAACACACACACTGTGGGTCCCCGCATCACACACACACACACACTGTAGGTCCCCGCAACACACACACTGTAGGTCCCCGCAACACACACTCTGGGTCCCCGCAACACACACGCACACACTGTAGGTCCCCGCAAGACACACACTGTAGGTCCCCGCAACACACACACACACTGTAGGTCCCCGCAACACACACACTGTAGGTCCCCGCAACACACACACTCTGGGTCCCTGCAACACACACACTGTGGGTCCCCACAACACACACACACACACTGTAGGTCCCCACAACACACACACTGTAGGTCCCCGAAACAACACACACACACACACACTGTAGGTCCCCGCAAACACACAC